GGAAGACCTGAAGGAGCAGCAGGGCGACAACCAGCAAGAAAAGGAGTGGAAGGCAAAAGCGTTGGAAAAACGAGTGAAGAAGGATCGCCGGTGCAAATCGCTGCTGGTATCAAGGATACACGACTCGCAGCTGGAATATATCCACGATAAGGCATCGCCAAAGGACATCTGGGATGCTCTCCATCGGGTGTTTGAAAGGCGAAGTATTGCCAGTAGGATGCACCTGAAGCGACAAATGTTGTAAATGCGGTTCGAAGGAGGAGACTTACGGCAGCACTTCCTGCTGTTTGACAAGGTGGTCCGAGAGTACCGTGCCACTGGTGCTACTTTGGACGACCTGGACGTTGTGTGCCACCTGTTGCTGACGCTGGAATCGTCGTACTCCGGTGTTGTTACGGCGTTGGAGACCATGCCAGAAGAAAAGCTCTCCCTCGAGTTCGTCAAGTGTCGACTGCTCGACGAGGAGACGAAAAGGAAAGGTATGGAATTGTCCACCCCATTCGGAGGAGATACGGCGTTTCACGGGGCGAAGCAAACACGGAAGTTCAAATGTTTCGGCTGCAAAAAGGAAGGCCACAAGCTGGTGGATTGCCCGGAGAAGAAAACCAAGCAAGGACGCAGTAAGCAGAAGCACGGTTCGAAGGCGAATGTGGCGGAATCCGACGATCGGAAGAGCGTTTGTTTCGTCAGTGTCTGTGAGGTGAGCCAGCAAGAAGAAAACCGTACACAGTGGTTCATCGACTCAGGTGCCACGGACCACTTGGTGCGTGACAAGAAGCTGTTTTGCGAGCTGAAGCGATTGAAGAAACCCATCGAGATTGCGGTGGCCAAGGATGGGGAAACGATCGTAGCGGAACACTCCGGCACGGTAAAGGTAGTAGCCGTCGTTGATGGTAAGTCGATTGATTGCACGCTTGAAAACGCGTTGTATGTGCCGAAATTGCGCTGTAATTTGTTTTCGGTGCTCCGAGTTGAGCAGACCGGAATGCGTGTCGTGTTCGAAGCTGGCAAAGTGAATATCTACAGAGGTTCCGAAATCGTCGCGTGCGGATCTTTGCAGAACAAGTTGTATGGACTCGACTTTTATTCCGAAAGGCATAGTGCGGGTGGTGCCTCGATGTTCTCGTGTGGCCGTCTGAAGAAAGTTTTGAACTTTGGCACCGGCGGTTCGGACATTTGAACGAGCAAAGTCTGAGGTGTCTCGCGCGGAATAAAATGGTGACCGGACTGGAACTGAACGCTGTCGGTGTGGCCGGTGATGTGATCGTTTGTGAGCCTTGCGTCATGGGCAAGCAAAGCCGGAAACCGTTTTCGTCGCGTGAAGGTCGAAGATCGTCGCGAGTGCTCGAACACACCGATGTGTGTGGCCCTGTGACGCCGGTAGGGCTCGGCGGGAACCGATATTTTGTTACATTCACCGACGACTGGAGCCACTTTACGGTGGTGTATTTGATGAAGTCTAAAGATGAAGTTGTTGAGTGTTTCGAGGAGTACGAGGCGTTCGTTACGGCGAAATTCGAACGGAAGATTTCACGGTTGAAATGCGACAACGGTGGTGAATACCGTAATAAGCGATTCGACAAGTTGTGCAAGCGTAAAGGTATCCAGGTGGAGTTTACGGTTCCGTACACACCGGAACAAAACGGGTTAAGCGAGCGTATGAACCGTACGCTCGTTGAGAAGGCGAGAGCGATGCTGGAGGATTCTGCTGTTGATAAGATGTTTTGGGGGCAAGCTGTGCTGACGGCGGCCTATTTGACCAACAGGAGTCCGACCGCTGCCCTGGGCATGAAGCGAACTCCCTTTGAGCTGTGGGAGGCCAGGAAGCCGGATGTGTCGAACATTCGTGTTTTCGGCTGCAGTGTTTTCGCTCATGTGCCGAAGGAACTCAGGAGGAAGCTCGATCCCAAGGCTTTGGAAAGGGATCTTCGTTGGATACGCCCATAACGGATACCGCGTATGGGATCCAGTGAAGAAGACGGTTGTTACAGGACGTGATGTGGATTTCGTCGAGAACGGTAGACCAGAAAAGCGACGTCAATCTGGATCAGCTGAGCAGTTTGTCGAAGTGTCGCCGAATATCGAGGAGTCGGACGAGGAGGAACATCATGAGGATGAAGTTTTCTCGGACGACGAGTACGACAGTTTCAGCGACGAAGAAGAAGAAGAAGAAGAAGAAAATCCAGAACCGGAAGATCATCAAGGCGGAGAAGGAAGACCACAACGATCAAGAACGACACCTGCATGGCATCGTGATTTTGAAGTGGAGTACGCTGGTTTTGCTCTGAATGCGATGAATTTCATCGAGGATATTCCGGATTCGATCGACGAGCTCAAGAAGCGTGAAGACTGGCAACAATGGAAGGACGCAATGGAAGAGGAAATGCGTTCCATGAAGCGGAATGGCACCTGGACGCTGGTCAAGCTGCCGCAAGGACGGAAGGCTGTTACCTGTAAGTGGGTCTTCAAGGTGAAGCGCGGTGATGCGGAGAAGCCGGACAGGTACAAGGCACGGCTTGTTGCAAGAGGATTTTCCCAAAAGCCGGGCTTCGACTACACCGAAACTTATTCCCCGGTAGCGAAGCTGGACACCCTGCGAGCGGTGTTGGCTTTGGCCAACGAGGAGCGGATGTACGTTCACCAGATGGACGTCAAGACCGCGTTCTTGAACGGTGAATTAGCTGAGGAGCTTTACATGACCCAGCCGGAAGGGTTCCAGCAGGGGAATGGATTGGTATGTCGGCTGAATCGTTCGATTTACGGCTTGAAGCAGGCGTCGCGAGCGTGGAACGACAGGCTCGATAGTTTCATCTGTAAGCTGGGGTTCGTTCGCAGTTCCAATGATCTGTGCCTTTATACGCGCGGAGCTGGAAAGGAGAAGATGATTTTGGTCGTTTATGTCGACGACATTTTGTTGGCTAGCTCCTCCCTGAAGATGCTGGAAGTCGTGAAACGGAAGTTGGCTCAAGAGTTCGAGATGACCGACGATGGCGAAGCTAAGCAGTTCCTCGGTATGCGGATCGATCGTGACAGGGAGAAGAGGATCCTGAAGATCAGCCAGCGCGATTACTTTGACGGACTACTGAGACGCTTCGGAATGGCGGAGTGCAACCCCGTTTCGACACCGATGGAGAATCGGTTGAAGTTGGAGAAAGGTGACGAGAAGTTGAGAACGTCAAAGCCGTACCGTGAGCTTGTTGGATGTTTAACTTATGCGTCGCTGACAACGAGGCCGGATCTTTCGGCTGCCGTTAATTTCTACAGCCAGTTCCAATCGTGCCCGAATGAACAGCATTGGACCCACCTGAAACGGATTCTCAGGTACATCAAAGGAACGTTGGACGTCGGTTTGGTGTATGAGGCCAAGGAGAATGAGCCGTTGCTGCAGGTGTTTTGCGATGCGGATTGGGCAAACGATCCAGCAGATCGTCGATCGGTGAGTGGCTGCGTATTGAAGTTATTTGGATGCACCATTTCCTGGTTGACGAGGAAGCAGCAGACTGTAGCGCTATCGTCGACGGAGGCAGAGCTTGCGGCACTTTGCACGGCTACGTGCAATACGTTGTGGATGATACGTGTGCTGGAAGATCTGGGGAAGCCGTTGGATGCTCCAGTACCGATGTACGAGGACAATCAGTCTACGATTCGGATTACCGAAGATTCCAAGGAGTGCAAGAGGATGAAGCATGTGGATACAAAGTTTCATTTCCTGCGGGACCTGGTACAACAGAGGAAGATAGAGATCAGGTATGTGCGTTCAGCTGAGCAACAGGCGGACATCTTGACTAAGGGACTTCTGGTAGCTGGTTTCAAGGCACTCCGCTCCAAACTTGGATTGGAGGCATGCTGTGGTTGAGCAGGGGTGTTAAGATGGCAACCACTGCACTTGGTGTGCCCCTACTTCTTTCTCTACGCCTATGCGTTTAATAACCTTGTTTGACGTTTCACTGTTTATCTTTTATTATAACCAAAACCCAAGTTGAGTTAATACACGTTTTTGTTTCTTTTGCCTAAATCTAAAAACCGCGTTTTGTGTTTTTGTTGTCTTGCCCATCCGAAAATCTCTTTATAATCATTAAGTGGAAGCCGCAATACTGCAATACTGCGACAACTTGTTTATCAACAATTTATTTGGAACCGGTCAACGTCGGTCACACATGCGTTACACCTGTCATTTGGCGGATAAACTCATCCGACCGTCTGAATTCAAGCTGGTCCTAAGTAACATTGATGGATTCTCTTCATCGACTATCTCTTTCATTGATAACTTGTGTACTGAACCGTACCTTGTAGTATTTGTCGTATAAAATGCTAGATAATAGCTTCTTTCATCAATCTGTGTGCTGAAATTAGCTGGGAATGTCTTAACATGGCCGTGAGGATGCAAATAGAAAGTCGACGAAGATAATCTGTCAATGTTACTTAGGACCTAATTCATCGTTCAGCTTGAAGTGTTCATTAATCTATAATATAAAGTGAACGAAAAATTTGCTGCACCGGAATTTGTGATGACGGTCAATTAGCCGCCAATTTTAGATTATTTCAAGCTGAACATTGCATGAGGTCCTAAGTTACATTGATCGATTCTCTTTGTCGACTTTCTCGTTCACTAATAACTTGAGCACATAACCGTGTCTTGTTGTGTTTGTCGTATTAGACGCTAGATAAAAGCTTATTTTATCGATCTGAGTGCTAAAAATACCTGGAAATGTCTTTACATGGCCGTAGGGATGCAAAGAGAAAGTCGACGAAGAGAATCTGTGAATGTTAATTAGGACCTAATGCAATTTTCAGCTTGAGTTATCATGCAACGGGGAACAACAAAATCTACAATTCATCGGTGCAATTCGTGCGAAAGTCGAGGATAAGCAATGAAGGAAATTCAAAACAACGGACGAAAACTCCTCTCTTTCTCCTCATCAACTGTCAACGCAAATAAAATAATACAATTTTGTTGTGTCAAAAACGAAACAATTTTAATTACGAAAACAAACTCGAAATTTACTGAATTCTGGCATCGAAACGGACGCAAGCCAGAGCGACGCCACCATCTCCGGTCAGACCGACTTCGATTTCGACTGGGATGTCACGGGCCGGGGCGTCCAGGGAATCATCAACCAGAGCGTAGTCGAATGGGGTTCCAGCAACGACTGGGCAACCTCCGATGAGTCCAGCTTGGCAAGCGTTGGCCAGCGCTGGGGGCAGTTCGAAACCGACATCCAAACCGGCAACGCGGGCCACAATGTGAGCGGTGGCAGTGGCGCTTCCGACCGGGCTAACGATTCCACTGGCCACGGCATTCAGAGGCTGTCCGGCAACCAAAATGCACTCGGATCCAGCGCAGTTGTTCACGCTCAAGGAAGCCGGGGTTGGGGCTCCGTTGGGGCCTACAAAGAACAAGCAAATCAAAGCAAGCTACAGTTGGTTGCTTAAGAAACGCATGTGTAATGGTTACTTACAGGCACGGAAGTTGACGGCAGCCATGGCCATGGCTGGCACCAGAGCGGCAACGAAGAAGAACTTGAACATCTTGGCTAGTTGGGTTAGATCGTGCGAATCGTCGACTACTGAGAAACGAATACTGCAATTGGCTAGTGCGGTCGTATTTATATCAACGCTCGGGGAATATCTCCACAGAGCCAATCAGCTGAATTCGGCGATTAGATAATTAAATCATCAAGAGCAAAAATTGTCAAACAAAAATAGCAGTTGAATTTCATTGTTATTGGCTTATCATATCAGAAGGTAGATAAATAGTACTGAGGTAGCGTGTGCTGCATCCGATCGTCGCTTGATAAGCGGGCAATGAATTGTTTGGCATTTGACAGGGTGCTCCGTGAGATCGTTCGATATTGTGGATATTCCTACTGATACGAGTTTAATCTCAGCGAGAGTCACATTCGAGGGTTCTATCCAGTTGGCGGTGGTCTTGTTAACTTTCACCCACGCCATTTTTACACTTTGTCTAGTATGAAAAGCTTGCGGACACTTTTTATTCGGCATCTTTGATATGACGTCACGCGCAAACTGTTTACTTTTCCAAAAACGTGTAATTGACCCACAGCTAACTAAAATCGTTGCTCGATAAATCTCACCTATATTCATTGTTCAATATCCGGGTTTTCACAATATTCATAACAGTTTTTGAACGCTAACTCCGTTCCAGGAACTCAAATGAAGTTCCCTGAATTTATTTCCAATCCATTGAGCATATTTGAAATATCCCGTACCTTCATGAAGTTCCGGGAACTTCTATTTCTAGTTCTAGTTCCCCGAACCTCTACACTTTTCTCAAAGCTTATTTAAACTTTCCTAAACCTTTAGGAAGTTCACTGAATTTCTACCAAGCTTGCCGAACCTGTGAGAATATTCTATATTTCATACAATGTTTTTTGAACATCTACAAAGTTTCCTTTAGCTTCTATAAAATTTTCTAAACTTCTTCGAAGTTCCTTGAACTATTACAAGTATGAACTCCTCCAAACTTATTGGAAGACTCTGAACCGTTTCTACGAATGTTTCTGAACATCTGGGCAGTTGCCTGAAATCAAACCAAATTCCCAAAATTTCCAGAAAATTCATTAAACTTGTTACAAGTAAGTTCTCTGACAATCTGCTACGATCCGACGGAATCCGTTTTCCATAAAATTTGTTTTACCACTTTGCAATTTGATGGTCACACATCTTTAAGTTCAAAATGAATTAAACATGTCTGCTGCAAACGAGGCTGCAAAGAAGCAAACATCTCATTGAAATTTCACCTCTGTATGGCTGCTGGATGGCGAGATCAGGGTCAGCGAAGACGCGAAGTGGAGGCATTCCATGAACTGTAACCTGCGTGCTACAATTTGTCCCATTTTGTACAGTTTTATCGTCGAGTGTAATATTGCCGTGTTTCTCACGAGCGTGTACTGTGTTTGTTATGCTTTGTTTTTATTGTCATTGCACGGTAGGCGACATACTCACCACTATGCCTTCGTGAATAATTTTAATTTGTAAATTTTGCTCGTTATTTTATTCGTTTTTTGTGTTGTTAGTTTAGTTAGATAGGGAAAAAAATATCGTTTTGAAATGTATCGTGTCCCAAATAAAGTTAGGCCCTTAAAGCTCCTCTCGCTGCAAAAAAGGCGAAAAACATAAAAGCATAACAGTCGAGCGTGGTTGCAGGAGCGATGGCGGTTTTGTGTTTGGGATTGTGACGTTGTGAACTAGGGAGAAATTTACGAACCACGGTTGGAATATGACGCGTAGATTTTGCCCCGTCCGTTTAAGTAGAAACGAGAAGTTGGAGTGCCGTTTTTCGTGGCGTGTGTCTGCTGGAGGGATAATTCCCAGCATCGTCACGTGGAAGTGACGTCGTTTCCCCGAAAAAGTGCCTTTTGCTCGTGAGCTGCATAAGCGAAAGGTGTCGGATCGCCGCCAAGGGAAGCTAGGCATAAATGAATCTTTCGCTTCCCGGCTAACCACCAAGGATCCCCGAACACCCACCGTCCTCACTGCGGTGGCTCAGCCAGTAGAGCCAGTCTCGCCACCGCAGTTCGCCTGGGTAGTGCACTGCGGTGACTACCGGGACCATCTACGGCGAGTAGTTGGTTCGGTGATTCGTCACCATCGTCGCCGGAGGGGTTCCGATAAAGGAGCCTTGCTCATCCCACCCGCTAAACGCTAAGGACCGCTACTAGACAGCAAGAAATGTAGAATGAGGCGCTCGGAACAGACCATGTCTGGAGCCGACGTGACGTGAACAAGCAGCAACCGCCACCGCTATCCTCGAAGGGCCCCACCGAGTGACACCGAGGACAACGAGGAGAAAAAGGGAAAGGTCAGAGTAGAATAGACGTTGTAAATTTCGAATATCTTTCTCTTTTTCTTATCAATCCATCCAAATCCGAACGTCTTTGGGGGAAGTACTCTGCTCATAGACGCCCCGCCGGGTTAAATCGGGCCAGCTATAGGCTGGCAAGTAAGCCGCAACTTACAGAACGTTCACCTTAACAGATATAAAGACACCTGGAGAAGGTTTCTGAACTCCTACGGCATTTTTTGAGCTTCAAGCTCAACTTCTACGCATTGCCCTTGTTGGTTTTCCAACGAAGAGAAAGTAGACTCCGAACGTTTAACGATTTATTGAGGATACGTTAAAATTTCCTGGAATGATTTATGCCGTTGAAATTACAGTTCTTAGCTTCTAGTAGTATAATATCTTACGTTTTGTAATTCTCCGTCGTTGTAACCCGGTAACGAAACTGTTTTATAAGAAACTGGCCAACTCCTGAACCGAGTCCTGAACGGGGTGATAGTTCGAGTTAGCTGTATATAATTATGTTCATGACTCACAATTTACCGTATTAGAAACAACGAAATTAGGTTTCAATTTAGAGGCTCGATCGTTTACCCAATCAACTTAACCTACAACTTTCTAGAAAGGAAAATGAGTTCAGTTTTACTTCAACGCTTCGCAAATTATTGTTGCTTTAACTCACGCAACTACAAATAGCAACTTAGATTTAAGCACAGATAATATAGATAACAATTTCATTAATTTTAAACTAAATCCAAAGAATAATTTTAGGTAATCGCGACATCGTGTCACATGGTTTCACTTGTTCTTAAATGACAATTATTTTCCCGTACCGTCCCTATCGGCATTCAACAACTGTCAGCCGAGCCAAGGCAAGTAAAGGTTGGAGTTTCTTTAGCTGGTGAGAAGGTGCGTTGCTACACGAGGGGTGTCGCAACAGCCCTTCTATCAAATATAAAAAAAAAATCAAATCTCACCAATGTCTAAGATCAAGCTTAGTTTTTTTTTCCTTGATTTTGTTTTCCGTTGATCTTGTTTTCCGTGCTGAGCACCAATGCTACCGACGCCAGGGAGACAGCTCCCACACCTGGACCCTACTACCTATTGACTCATCAGCTCATGAACCGGGGACCAACGGCTTTTCTTCCCTTCCGAAGGAAGGCGTGATCAGATATGTTATGCCTCAGAACATCCCGGCGGCGCCGACTGGGATTGAACCCAGGTCTGCTGGAGTTAGAGGTAATCACACTTACCACTACACCACCGGCGCCGCTACACGTTTAATTTTGGTAGACAAAAATCAACAAGCAAGCAACTTCTAACCAAACCGTTATGAATTACCTGACCGTAATTTTAACCTACCGTCACTTCGTGTCTTCCATCGGTGAAGAATAAAGTGAGATAGCAAACTACACTGTTTTTAACCAATGTGCAATGGAATAATTTGTTAGTCGAGTCAACTCACAGCTTCATTTTTACATAGTCATAGTCTCGCAATATCACAGAAGCTTATAAAATCAATATCAAGATGTTCCATAGATAGAGCATGAGAGCGAGAAAACATCGTTCGATTGATGATTTTTCCAACACTGGATACAGCATAATCATTCACTGGTTGGGGGTGGTCTTGTTGAGTTCGCCTCGGAGTTCGCTAATTGGATGACGTCCCATATAAAAAAAGTAGTTTTCTCGCTAATTGTGTCAAATTAGCTTTGACATATCATTGTTATTACCTACACTGTAATAATTATCCCTACAAATTTCATAAACTGCATCGTATGAACGCATGCAAATACAAGCCTGAATCAATTTCATAATTATCTTATGTTTTCATACTCCATCTATAGTATTCATAATTTGATACAACAAAAGGTATACGAAAAACCGAGGGGGACGACTCTATCTACGATGCATAAAAGATTGTGTTTTGCTGTAGCTACCTGTGCGCACGCTGAGTAGATAGAAAGAAGATTGATGACGATTCTGAAGATTTCCTGCAAAAACTTGATGAGCGATGCAAGTAGATGTGACAAATGAAAGAAGATTGTTCGAAGATTGATTCGCTAGTGTGAGATTTGTTGAGCATCTAAACTTGAGATTTAGATGTGTCGCCCCCCTCGCGAAAAACATTAAAATTTCATAAACACATCGTATGAATTATTTTCGTTCAGCTTACGGCAAAAAATCATACGACGATCGTATGAAATTTATTTAGACAGTGCCATTCAAAACAACAACAAAACACAAGATGGCGGATCCAGCTTCAAGACGTGGCGCAAGGCTCCGTAAACCTGTAAGTAAATTTATTTCGTATTGTTTCATTGTAGTTTACAACTTTATTTACATTTGTAGACAGTTAAGCAAGCTTCTGCTGCTGCTTCTGCATTATCGATTTCAACAGCACGTCGGAAGAGACAACCGGATCGGGTAAGTGTCAGATTAATTTTTTGTTTTTGATTTGATAATTTAATACAACAGTAAAATTTTTTGAACAGGAATCGGACACGATTACAAGCAAACCTACTCGAAAAATCGTAAGTATAAAGTTCTCAGTTGGTTCGTTATTTTTTACAATACCGAAGGTTATCCAGCCCCGAGCTAAAAGCCTCCCTAATAAAGAAAACCTAACCTAACTTTACAATTTTTGTTTACAGAAATTTGAACCACCAACAATATCCAAATCAGCTTTTCTTCCTCCCACAGCTTCAATAATTCAACTGGAATCTTCTATTCCAGCTGTGTTGAATGCAACAGGGTTGACAGCAAATTACGCTAAAGTGCTGCAGAAAA